CCCTCCCGTCGCCGTGTCCCGTCCCTGACCTCAACCTGCAACGGCGTTGAAGGCGTTATGTAATACAACTTACACACCAAAGGGAAAACCAGAGTCCCGGAGCAATCTATTACCTCACGGCTTACCCTGGTCGAGTCCGGTTCCACGAAGGAAGGAAACCCAGGTCCGTCCGGTCCCACGGCCGACCAAAGTCCCATTTCGTGAATCATCAAAGGACCAGAGACGCGGCGGTCGGCCAGATTATGAGCCGCAAGCGATTCATCGGCCGAACGCACGGTGTGAGTCAACATTGGCACTTGTGTAGAGCACCTGCAAGTGCAAGGATCGCCGTGACTCTCGGAGCCGTCTACGGCCTTTGATCTACGGGCCTATGGTCTACGGGCCTCTCAACTCAGCAAGAATGGGTTCAGCCGCAGCCAGGTGTTTGCGGTGTTGGTCGGCGCCCGCTAGGGAGTAGCGCCCCAAAGAGACGGGAGATGAACAGAGGTCTGAGCGGGTTGCTGAATTCGCGCTTGGAGTCTTGACGTCGTAAATCCAAAAAGAGGCTTTTTGGATTATGAAATCAAAGTGCGAGGGCCGAAGGCGTCGGCGCAGAACTTGACCAATCACGGGAGCTGCCTACTGTGGGTGACCCACCCCGCGTAAGTCGGACAAGCTTTCCCTCCGACCACCGAGATGGGCCGACCGACTAGGCTGGAATTCCTGGAATTCGTCTGGATTTTCCGGTCTTTAGATTCTCTTAGATCCATCATCCATGGACCATGGTCTACACAGTAGCACTCTTGATCCACTGCCACATGGAGTCTGCTGCAGCCGTCGTAAACCGTAAAATAAGGTAGGGAGGATAGGGATAGGTACCTACTACCAGGACTTTGTGCTCGGAGTGACCTCTGCCCCTGGCCCGATATCCCTCCGCCTTTCCTCCGGCACTGACACACACACACACACTCACACACGCGATTGAAGCTCACGTAACTATGGTGACGAAGGGCGTTCCTCCTTCGGACATTTTCTTCTTTTTTGCCAATTTCGATGACCACAGTTTGCAGCGTGTCCAGGCCGAGTGACTCGTTTCCCCAATTCTCTCCTCCCCATCCCACCCACTCAAACGCAGACAAGCTCACGCTAAGGTATCCCACCAAGTTTTACCTCCTTTGCTTACCTACCTTACATGACAACTGGGTATCCAAAGTATGGAGCGCACAAAGAAAAGATACCTTGTCTTGGTAGGCATTGACCAAATGACCAGGGGGGGAGCTTGGGCGTTTGGCTGGGCCATCCCTGGGGCTTACGAGTGTTCAAATCGGGTTGGGGTCTGCGATGGTGCAGTCTTACCCGATGGGATGCTGCAGCTGGGAAATTTCACGATCTCAGATGTCATTCAGGATGATTTACTAGTGTACCTACCTGACCTGACCTTACCTTACCTTACCTCGCAAGCGCGAGCATCAGCCCGCCTCGTCTGATGGATACATAAAACCTGCGCTGCCTGCCGCACACCATTTCACATGCGTCTCTTGCCTCTTCTGTATCATCCAGGGTCCTCCTTCCTTTTCTTTCTTCCCACACCCTTAGGTTTGTAAAAGAATAATATCGACGTCTTCTCCGCCTTGACTCTATAGATACGAAAAGCATACAAACCACCGGTTGACCCAGTGTATAAGTTAATTCTCCCTTGGAGCAAAACCACGACAACAAGAATTTTCATCACAACCTACACTATCACCATGGGCTCCAAACACCCTGACGAGAAGCTCGGTGACACCACCTCAGCCGATCCCTCCATCTCCACCGAGAAGCACCACGTTCACGATGACCCCAACATGCCCGAGACCTACGAGAAGCAGGACCCCTCTCACGCGGCCGGCGACGACGACGTCGTCTACCCATCTGGCCTCAAAGTCGTCCTCATCCTCATCTCCCTCTGCCTCGCCGTCTTCCTCGTCGCCCTCGACCAGACCATCATCGCCCCAGCCCTCGGCACAATCACAGCGGAGTACGGCAGCGTCAAGGATATCGGCTGGTATGGCGCGTCCTACCTTCTGACAACAACGGCCCTGCAGCCGATGTACGGCACCATCTACAAGCTCTTCAGCATCAAGTACGCCTATCTCACTGCCATCGCCATCTTTGAAATCGGCTCCCTCGTCTGCGCTCTTGCGCCAACCTCCACCGCCTTCATCGTTGGTCGCGCCATTGCTGGTATTGGTACTGCGGGTCTGTTCTCCGGATCCATTGTCATCCTCAGCTACACCATGCCTCTCGAGAAGCGACCCCTAGCATTCGGTCTTATTGGGGGCATGTGGGGTGTTGCGTCCGTTGCCGGGCCTCTGCTGGGTGGTGTCTTTACCGAGAAAGCGACCTGGCGGTGGTGTTTCTACATCAACCTCCCCATCGGCGGTATCGCCATGGCCTTTATCTTCTTCCTCCTCACCATCAGCCGGAAGAACAACCCCAGTGGAGAGTCTCTAATGAAGCGCATTCTGCAGCTCGACCTCATCGGAACGGCCATCTTCCTGCCTGCGATTGTCTGCCTCATTCTCGCTCTCCAGTGGGGTGGCGCCGAGTACCCCTGGAACAGCTCCAAGATTATTGGACTGTTTGTTGGGTTCGCGCTCATGATCATCGTCTTCATTGGCATTCAGCTGTGGCAGGGTGACAAGGGAACGCTACCTCCCAAGCTATTCAAGAACCGCAACGTCGTTTGCGCCATGCTGTTTGCCTGCTTCTTTGGTGCTGCATTCTTCCCACTCCTCTACTATTTGTGTAAGTACCTCCCTTACTCCTATCTCTGCATGAGATTTTATATCAACTACATTTGAGAACCATCACACTAACAGATTGCAGCTCTCTACTTCCAGGCAATCCAAGGAGTCAGCGCCGTCCAAGCCGGCATCAAGATTCTGCCCCTTCTCCTCGCCACCGTCGTCGCATCCATTGCTAGTGGCGCTCTGATCTCCATCATTGGCTACTACAGCGCCATCATCCTGCCGTCTCTGGTCCTCTTCGCCGTTGGCTCAGGTATGATCACCACCTTTGACCTCGACACGCCCATGCGCGAGTGGTTCGGATACCAGGTGCTCGCGGGTCTCGGCATCGGCGCAGGTTTCCAAATTGGTGTGCTCGTCGTCCAGACGGTCTTGCCCCAGGAAGAGGTTCCCGTCGCGACCGCATGCGTGCAGTTCTTCCAATCCTTTGGCGGCGCCATCATGATTGCCGTCGCCCAGACACTGTTCCAGACGGGTCTCATTGATGGAGTCACCAAGAACGCTCCGGATATCAACCCCCAGATCTTCATCAACGCCGGCGCTGACCAGGTTCGCAACATCTTGACGCAGATGGGACGTGCCGACGCCATTGACGTGGTCCTTGAGGCCTACATGGATGGACTCAGGCACACCTTCTATGTCACTGTTGCCTGCGCGTGTGCTGCTTTCATTGCCTGCCTGGGCCTGCAATGGAAGAGTGTCAAGAAGGAAGGCAAGGGTGGTGCTGCTGCCGTTGCTGTCTGAGATTTTCACTGTCTTGTACGATACGAAGGAAATGGTTACATGAGATTTAGAGGATACCCGGTTTAGAACCCTGCTCTACTTAGACTAGAAATTGTAATGTCGGATTGTTACTGAGTATGAATGTAAACTTCTAGACGTAATTGACATGCTCTACTACGCTTTCATATGACAAAACCAAGAGTGAGTGAGGCTTGTATTAGACATATGGGTCCAAAGAACACAGGCCAAAATAGTTCATCCACGGGGGATCAAACGAAACCCAACCAAACGTCAGATCAATGGTCAAGGGGACTGAGATCCGCCTCGGGTCTTCCCCCAAATCATTCCGCACCCGACTTGCATAGAAGTACCTTACTGCAGTATTCTGAGGTAGATATAGCAGCGAAAGGAAGCGCAAATTAACATCTGATCTCTTGGTGAGTGTTGCTTAACATGGTAAGGCAGGTAGTGCGTGGCCCACGATGGAAGACTCTCCCTCCAAGACGTGACTTCCCCCTGAACCATCCAGGTTCCACTGGGCCCGAATACACAACCTGAATAACCACACAACAAGCCTTCATATACCCCTCTGCTGCCATTCCTGTCACCAGCCAGCAGGCGCCCGTCTAGGTCGACGGGTCAGGTCAAACTGGCTGGGTGGTGGAGTGGTTTATGGTCAACAATCAATTCGCCAACCAGCCTACTCGACGACAGGCTCAGCGCATACCCGAGTTCGAATCCCAGCATGAGCACCAGATATTTCCCAGCATGAGCACCAAGAGATGTAGCCCCCAGTCCAGCACCGGGGGGGTGAACTCTTTTGTCAGTCTGGATGACTTTTTGATATTAGCCGTGCTAGCATCAGTATGACCTCCGCAAGCGTTACTGATTCGAGCTTTCGTTCGTGGCAGTCATTTATACCTCACAGAGACTCATATCAGATGGGTGAATTCAAATGCCAATTGCTCGTGCTATGACTCAAGACTAAACAGCATTACGCCGCCATAATATTGATATGTGATGCAATTCCAGCTTCGAGATGCAATGTACCTACCGCAGACTTTGCTCTCTTTGGCAGGCATGCGTCTGGAGGATATTGAAAGCCATACTCATAAACAGTATCAATGAGAAGTCCGAGGATTCTATCGAAGCCTCTCTTGCGTGGTTTCATCCTCCCACCACCCTTCTCTGGTGATCATAACGAGAAGCCACGATCAGTCTCTCCCCGCCTATGCCTTTATCTCGCTCTCGCCAGGTCCTACCCAAGTATATGTTGAGCCGAACCCTTCCCACCAGTGCAATCGAATGATGTCCTCCCTTGAACAGGCCCTGTATTTAAAATGCGATGCCCACTTCACATCGTTCATATCATCTCCCTTTCCGAGGTTTTTATATGAGATGAGTCGAACGATTCGGTTCCCATCCACATCTCTCCATTCATACGTATAGTTGGTGTAACAAAAGGCACAGGCACGCATACGCCTATTGTCCATTGAATGCTGGGGCTTCTCATCCGGATGCCAGATATTTCGTATCCTTTTCAGATCATCAGATTCCCATTCTCGTCTGTATCTCTCAAGGTCGACAGGGTCGGTATAATACTGCATATTATGCTGAAATATGAAAGGATACCTCGCTGCCCAGTACATATGCCCGCAACATTTGATGAGGTTGTTCCGTTCTAGTACTTGATAAAGGTAAGGGACGTCATTTCTGGTCGCGGAAAGGTCTGTGACGGTCTTTACGAGCAATTCGCCTTGTGTCGAGATACGGCCCGTCATGATTTGTTTAACCGTTGCCTTAACGCTCTCGTGGCAATATGCAACGGAATCGACTAGATAAAGTTGATCAGGACCATACAGATTCACTTTAGAACGCTTATCAGCATGGAAGTGCTTGAGGACGTTGAAGTGAAGGGTGCGGTGGAGATAGGGTGAAACTAGTCTCTGATGCGGGTTTGCGGGTTCCTGAAGACAGGGACGATTATAGCCGCTGCCCTTGGCGCCGGTGCTGCTGTGATAGGCGGTGGATATCGACAAGTAAGGGTGGTGGAAGATCTGACAGGGCCTGCAGAGGACGTTGCCGTTTTTGTGCTCATCGACGTCTCTCTCCAGCAACGTCAGCAGCTCGAGTTTCTTTTGAGACGGTAGACTCAGTAGAAAGTTGTTCTCTCCGAAAATGGTCCACATTCTGAAGCTCGTCAGAGATAGGACTGCGCGGTCGACCATGGTGAGATAAGCGGAGATGGCGAGGAGCAACTCGGTAGGCATGATTTGATCGAGGCCTGGTCCTTGGTATAATGCGTCTTTTCTCATTCTACCGAAAAGTGGAGCCAACCACGCCCAGGCTGATTGTAGAGGTGTTTCTTGACATGTTTTGGCGATGCTCTGTTCATCGGATGGGTATACGGGCACCTGGAACTCGGCATGGACCTCTTCAGGAGGAAGACGATTTCGTCGCAACCTTTGCTGATGACGACGACTGTTGGCGAGAATCATACCTGCCGCGGCCATGTTGTAAAATATGTCAAGTGGTTGTTGCTGCGTGTGAGTTTGGTGTTTGAGACAATACCATCGATTGCCTTGTGCTATATATATAGGTATTGGAAGAATCATGGTCACAGAAGCTATCTCTAAGTCAGCCTTGTTTACTACGTCAACGCCATCAAGGTTTGGGCCAAAAGCCTTTCACTTACTGGCGAGGCACTCAAGGTCGACAGGGTATCCTGAGTCTAGGCCTGATGGCTAAGGTAGATAGTCACCGTTTAAGAGAGCTTAGCATTTGCTCGCAGCACAAGGTGCATTACTACAGTTGGGAGTTTTGTAAGTATCACGCCGGTTGTTTTGGTGCCCAGCCTATTGTAAAACGTCCAGTCGAATAGAGCGTATTCTCTGCATACGCCTAGATACTACCGAACTTGGATGACCGCGAAAACCTAGACCCACGGCGGAAGTATGGTCGCTTCATCCGGGTAGAGGAAACGAGTGGTTTGGCGAATGGGTGGTTGTGGTGAGCTCGCTGCTCAATCGGTATTTCCTTATTGTGGAATTGCCTTCTGCTCACTCGTCAGACTTTATAATTCAAATCTCTGCCTCTTTCAGAACAGACCTGGCTCTCTCTGTCGAGGTCTCCTCGCCGGAGCTAATCTCTTTTGCGCTGCAACTGCCTGTATCAGGAAGTGCTGTAAGGTCAACGACCATCTGCTCTGATATAGGTAGCGAGCTTGATCAGAGCGTGCGCACAAGCTGTGACAGCCGAACATGTCCCTTTCTCCCCAGGACGAAGCCTGAGAGGCATTTACGTTTGCTGGACTACTACTTGCGCGTAGTTTTGCTGCTGCTCAAGCTGGCCTGTGGGCGGTCTCGCCTTGGTCTTGCCGTCGATGTGGCTAGGGTGGTGCTGGACCTTGCCGCCGAGAAAGCTGGAGGCGGGAGTGACTAGAGGTAAGGCAGGAAAACGTTGAGAAGGGATTGAACTCAAGGTGGAAGTAAACTGACTTGAGGCGGGAATGACTGGAGGAGTGTCACCCAGCAGCGCTGCAGTAGTTCGTCGGCATATTGGGAACTCTGGCACTCTTCCATTTATCGAGGCAGTTGCCACACTTGCCGATCCGTTCATACTGACACACTTCACAGGAAGCATGGGATTCGCCCACTTCCTCCTTCTTCCACATCCCGTTGACGCAGTTCAGCCTACGATTATGGAACCATAACAGTCGAAAGGCACTGTTGCCTTGTTGACGTGCATACTGCTCATTCCCCTCCACAACTCTTTTCGGTTTTGTCTTCAGGAAATTGCAGAGGAAATACAGAGCGGGCCCACTGCGTCTTCCGTTTCGATTTTTTCACGTCCGAGGACCCTTCCCTCCCTTTTGTTCTATCATCTGTCGACCTGTGTGGCCCAGAGAAAGAGCTTGCTTCACGCTCAGATTCATCCGCAGGCACAACTGGTAGGTCGACTCGGTAAGTAAGCAGTGGCCAGGGAGGAAGCACTGAATGAGTATAAACCATCCCGTGGAACTTACTCCGCCGGCTTATCATTTGGTCCGCTCCTGGTGTGTCCTGTCTCGAGCCACTGCGCCATGTGGTTTTGGCATCGCGGCACGCACCACGTGCCCGTCACTTGTTTCGTCGGAGCGCTTGCCAGTCAAGTCCCAAGGTTGACATGTCGGACTAAACTTGGTCAGACATGGAATACATGAAACACTCCGAGTGATCCAGTAGGCTACTTGTTCCGTCGCAGAATAAGTATACGGTTCGACCAGACATATCAACTTGAAATCGTCGGTATATTCCGCGCATTGCACCAGACTTATCTACCTTACTCGAGCCAACACGACTCGATCGAAGTTAACCCGAACGATTGTTCCCATGACTGTGGCGCATCTTCGCTACCTGGGCAATCACACTTGCCTCTCAGGCGCCGGCACAAACGATCTTTCCCACCATCCCCATCACGATGCATAACAACCATTGCAATGGAGAGTCGCGACAGCCTCCAAACATCACAACCGCGCAGCCTTTCCGCTTAGCCTCGTCCATCATGGCTTCCGCGGGCATTTCAAGAGCGAGAAACAGTGCCGTTGTCATTCATGGAAGGCTCAAACGCTGTAAGGCGTCTGTTTCTCGTCATCCCCCTTCCAAGGGGCCGTTGTGTCGAACTGTCCCCTTCTTCCAACTGCCCCCCGGTACGATGCGTATCCATCACAAATGAGAGTTGCGACCGAGTAGGACTCTTTCTTGCGTGTAATGCTTGCTAGTGATGTTCCCTGTTGTCTTGAAAGTTCCTTCGGCTTTAGTCAAAGTAGGCTTAAGTTTGTGGACGAGAACTCACACTCCTGTTCCCCTTCTTGATCGAGATGCGCCCTCTTCCCTCTTCTACTTTTGATATGACTCTCTCCTGACAAAGTACAATGCCCTTTACTTTGTGTAGGTAGGAGGGATCGAATCTCATGTAAACAATAGCCAGGCTATAAGAACCCCAGTATCCCTCGCGTCGTCTGAACATAATCTCTCCTCTCCAAGCCGATAACTACTCACACAAGCTATATAAGATGGCACCTCAAAAACCACTTCTCCCCATCGCCGAGGCCCGAAAGGGCCATCCTTATTCAACGTTTCGTGCTCGCAGCACCACCACTCCCCCCACCACCACCATCAGCCCTGTCCCGCCCCGTCCCCAATCTCCTCCCCGAGGCCGGCCCCAAGCCACCTCCAGAATCCCAGTCGCAACTGGGAGCAGTGTGGCTCGCACCAACAGCAGCAGCAGCAGCAGACGGAGGGTCCCCCGGACGAGCCCGCCATTGGCGCCCCTCGGGAGCAACAGCAGCAGCAGCAGAGCCGCCGCCGCCGCCCGTCCCACCACCACCACCACCGCCACCACCACCATCACCAACATCACCACCGCCGCCGCCGACCCAACCACTGCCCCGGTGTCCGGCTCTCATACCTTCTTGCCACTTCAGTCACTTGGCAGTGGTCCCTGCCCCGCCCCCGCCCCAGCCCCCGCACCAACCCCGGCCCTCACCAGCAACCCCGGCCATAACCCCGACGACACCACCCCTCCGACCAACTCCCAGGACAAGGAGAGGGCGGCAGAAGTCCCTCTTTGGGATATGTGGCTTTCGGTGTGCGTGGGCTTGGTGCCCTTGGTCGGTTCGTTCCGTGTGGCTGAGACAGAGCCAGAAGGGCCTCAGAGGGCCGGTTTTCAAGTGCTCTCGGTAGCGTTGGTCATGAGTTACGCTCTGACCGGAGCCGTTCTTCTCTGCCGGCTGGACCTCTGCCGGCATAATTCCCACGACCGCCTCTAGAAGAGGCGAATGGTAGCAACCGCGGTGCCGTTTGTTTTTTTGGTGATTTTAATCACCATGCAAGTTGGTTGTGGCCTGATTTGGGGGGAGGTATGGTTGCATATTGTTGGTTTGCTGGTAGTCGGAGTGCTTTTTGGCTTGTGGTGGTGGTACTAAATCGTCATGGTGTTTTACGACATTGGTTATGCTTTGGTGAAGATTGTTAATGCTTTGGTGGACATTGTTCTTTTATCTGGTTTGGGCACGACCAAGGACAAAAGGCCCATAATGACAAGAACATTGGTCGATTGATTCAATTGCGTTGATTTGTGCCTTTTGCAAATGCCAGTCTAAGTAGAGCAGTACAACCAGCTCATTACCCATCAAACACTCAACTATTAAAAAACCAATAGAACCTAAGGCTAATAACAGTAAGCAATAATTAAAGGTCTTGGCATGCGTCCCGCCTCGTTCAACGGAGTCGGATAGCGCCAAATAATCGTCAAAACCACGCCTTGGCTGATTTCAGAGCTTTTCCCCGACATGGGTGAGTGATGCTCTGTGTCTCTGGTACATGTTCGCACACCGTGTACTCAAAAGGGCCCTCAGGGGCCTCTTCGAGAAGACGATACTTTTCCTCCCATACTCGGTTTCGCCTTGGGCGGATCAAGTGAGACATTATTAACATCATGGTCGTGTTGTAGAATATGTCGAGTGGTTGCTGTTGCGTGCGTCCGAGAAGACTTTGCTGCTCACCTTTTGTCACCTTGTACATGTACATATATATACCTGTAGAAAGAGTAAGGCTCACGCCAGCCAACATTCAACTCAGCCTTATCACCATCAATACCATGGGATGGTTTGGGTCGAAGAACCTTCTTTTGATGGCCAAGTCTTGAAGGTCGGTAAGGTGTTGTGAATTTACCTTAGGTAGGTGGGAGGGTTAGGTGGCGGCGCAGTAGGCGTATCATAACGGAGCCCGAGATCTGCCCGAAGCGCACGGCAGACGAATACACTTGTGGATTTCTCTATCATACAGATAGCAAGATAGCTTCTCAAGTGACAGAGATCGTGCTAACCTGCCGGCTGAGTACATTGGGGGCATGAACGAGGAAGGACAGCCATGACCACAGTGATGGTTAATCCTGCGACGGGCTATTGACTCAACATCGCGAATGCTATGGAGATAGCTTCGCCAGATGATTAGCCTCAAGTGGGTGATGGAACGATCCGCCGGTCAGCGCATAAGTGATACACAGAGTATACTTAATGACCAGCTAGGATTAGCAGTGGAAGTGATAGCAGTAGTCATAGGAGATAGAGGTAGAGGCAGAAGGGGCTGAGCGGTTGATTATTCCGCGTGTAATCTGCCACCTTTCTGACAAGTTGCACAATGAGTGAAGAGCTTCATTCACGTCGAAGTCAGACGTCAAAAAAAAGGTTGTTATGGTTCTCTCCCTTGAAACATGGCCCTGGATTCCACCTTGGCCGGAGGCACCGAAGTGCGATCAGATACAATCAGCTCATCACCCATCAAACACTCAACGATCAGAAAGCCAACGGAACCTAAGGCTGACAGAAGTGAGCAGTGGCCAAAGGTCTCTGCTATTTTAAGCTTTCGTCTCCCACGACGTTTCGGTTCGGGGCTAGTGTGGGGAAGTGCAGGCGGGAGCCAGAGAACACCTAACTGAGTGAGTAAGTGAGTGAGTGAGTGAGTGACGGGAATGTGAGTGAATGAGAATGGGAATGAAAATGGAAATGGAAATGCCGTTGTGGATCGACGAAACAAATGGGCAGTGCTTAGGTACTTTGAAACTGCAAAGTACCCGCAGCAGCAAATCTGGGTGCGTTGATACCTCTGATTTCCCCGCAAGGGGAAGCCTGCAGATGAGCCTCAGACGGCTCAACACGGTTCGCTGTTCATGGCGCCTACTGCGTCTTCACTTTCCAACCCTGGCAAGCCTGGCCGCATCCAACCGGAAAGGTTATCCTACAGTGAGGTACTTTAAGGCAAGGTACATTGCTAAGTATGTAGTCAGAGCATGGACGGCAGGTACTGTGACCTCTCCAACGTCTGCTCGCCTGCCAACTGCACTGCCCGCCTACCCGCTGCGCTCGCTCGTCAACCAAACTCCAATTCAACCTCGACCCATCTACAACAACCTTGAGAGGTGGCTGCTTGAGCTATCACTACCTTACTACACCAGCCTCCTTTCCGTCGACATCAAACGTAAGGTACAAAGAGCGCTTCAAATGGTCTTGCGACATTCAACAATGCCATTTGCAACTCCGCATGTTACAACCAATATCTCAATGACATCGCCAAAGCCTTAATCGCGATCCCCGCCAGAATCAGCCCCCAAACGACGACTAGACCCAAACCACCTGGTCCACTACCCACTTAACGTTGCCGAACATCAAGCGTCACTTACAATAAATCCCAGATCGCTCCGTGAATCTGGCTCTCGCGACTACCTCGACAGTTTTGAACCTCACTGCCTCCCGCCATGGACAGAACCATGGATCTAAGGGACATGGACTTTGAGTCTGCCATCGTGGACGACGATAAGGACGCCGACGTCCCCGTAAACGCCCTCAATACTCCACAACGCCTGGGCCGCTCGCCCTTGTCCAAGACGCGCTCCATGTCTGATGGAGGAGGAACTCCTTCCAAGCTCACTCCTTCACCGCACATTGCGGATGGTCGCCAGGCATCCAAGGACGATAACCACATCAGAGACACGGCCACCACACCCGTAACCCCTCACCGAACCGAATTCCCCCTCCGTGGTCTCTCGCTGCAGATGCCCGCGAACCGCGACCCTGCCTCCCCTGCAGCCAACTCGTCCACCGCATTTACGAAGCCCGCGCCGCTATCACCGAAGCTCGACCACTCGCAGATCTATGCGAGTCCGACAAATATTCTCCCTCGTCGCTCTCGTGGCCTCGACTTCTCACGCGCTGCCACCAGCCTGCACCACTCAACACTCGCCGAGTCCTCACCCGACTCCTCGCCTACGATCGGAGGAAGGGGCATGAATATCCCGGGACGCAGGAGCAACGACTACGGACAGGCCGAGCAAACCACCAACTCGTTGTGGTCCATGATGGGCAACCACGAGCGCATGACGGTGTCGAGCTCCCTGGGCAGCGCGAATCAGATTGGGTCAGATTCCTCTTCCGACTCCGACGACGATGATCTCATGGATGAGGATATGGACGAGCCGTACATTGGTACACCGCAAGCCAACAAGACCGCCGCGCCCTTGGGCACACATCCCATGATGGCACCCTGGGGAGGCTCTCCGGCAATGAACAGTCTGATGAGCTTCCAGCATAGGCAGCGGCAAAGGAAACAGCCAAAAAAGAAACACAAACTGCCACTGGGTCTAGGATTCAGTCCCAGCACAAATGCCGGTGTCTCAAAGTCGCCGCCAAACAACGTGCCCAAAGACATGTCGGCACATTCACGTAGGGAGAGCATTAGCTGGCAGGCCAACCAGTTACATATCTCTGGGAGCGAGGAAGAGCGAGGTGATAATATCGACGGTCTACTCTCGACTCCCAGTCGTGATGGGCAGCGCCCTACAGTCATGCGACGGGTGGTTACGCAGCGTAGAAACCTGCTACCCAAGACGAAGAACTTTGCTCGTATCAGGGCGGCTTTATTCGAGGAAGGTGCGCCAGTCGAGACGGAAACCCAAAGAGAGGCCGAAGTCGTCCGTCAAGTGCGAGAGAGTGACGTCGATCTCGGAGCACCTCGTCAACAGACCGTTCCTCCCGCTACTACCCACTCGTCGCCCAACCTAGGGAACCAAGACCAATCCCTCGACGACATACCGGAAAGCATGATCACCGACTCGGCCCTCAATCTCTCGGGCAGCTTTAAGCAACAAGCCTTGAAGAATTCAAAGGGCACCAAGTTCTGGGATACCTTCTCCGAGTCTAGCAGTATCGGCGGTGCTCGCACAACGCCGCCTCCGCCTAACGGAGGACTCCCTCGCGGCTCATCGTCAGGAATGAGCGAAGACATTTGCATGGACTCCCCGTCACTCGGCCCTACGGCTGGTTTTGCTATGGCCGCAAGCAGCGGGGAGTCTCAAAAGGGAGATACTCCTCTTCTCGCTCAGGGCCCGCAACCGGCACCCAGCGCAGCGGAAATCACACGGCGGATCAACAGCAAGCGCAGGCGGGAGGACGACTACGATCCCGTCAGCCTCAAGCGCCGGGCAGTAAGCCCAGGCATGAGCGTGCACAACTCGCCCATCATGCAGAGCCCCATGCAACGCGACGTGGCGCCCTGGGGGTCGCGGCCCGGCAGCAACAGCGGCGATAGGGGCGGCAGTGGCGCGCCGAGCGAGTCGGGAAGCCTTGGAGGCGGCACGCCCGGTAGCGGCGCCAACGCCAACGGCCGGGTAGTGAACGGGAACAAAGGACGCGTTGGATTCCAGGGCATGGTTGATACCAACGACGGTCTGATGCGAATGAGCATCGAGTGATTTCTTGAGGCGTGTCTTCGGAAGGGTGGAATTGGCGCAGTCTGCATTTCTTGGGCGTTGGGATAGGACAGTTTGCGTGTGAACAAAATACCGGCGAGAAAGGGGGGTATCAAGGCGAACGAATCTTGGGAGGTTATGGACAAGGAGCAAGGAGCAAATTAGTATATCCATAGAGGCCGAGCTCGGCACCACACACACACAAGCACTCACAATAGCACACAGGCTACTTGCAAATGGAATAGAAATCCTTAATGAGCAAGATATTGTACACGCCAGAGTGATTACGAAGATGAAGGGATAATTCTCGGCCGGTGGTATCTTCCCCGAAACGCCCGTGTACGCCTGTAATGCTTCCCAAAGCCCCCTTTCGTCCCCTTTTGATAAGTCAATGCGAAATCCATGCCACTCTGTCCCAGGTCCCATCTCTCTACTCGTACAGCTTCCCCGTGGTTCCCTATCCATGAGAGAAAGAGAATGCGATGACACCAGCTTATTCCACACCCACACCCTCCTCGGGAACCCGCAAACTCCCAAGCTTATCATCCAACCACCGCGCCAGCTCCTCGGCATGCCGCCGCAACGCCACGACGCCGGCGGTATTCACGCTCCCGACGCTGGCGAGGGAGGTGGTCGTCTGGGCGCCGAGGCTGAGGATGCTATCTGCTTCCGAGGGGGACGCGGGGATCTGGAATGGCGTGCCTGTGCCCGCGCCGCCGTTTGCGCCTGCGTTCGCGTGGGAAGAGTGGTGCGAGTGAGAGTGTTGGTCGGTAGAGGAAGAAGCTTGCTGGGCTTCGATGGTCTCGGCGAGGGGACCGATGCAGACGAAGAGTAGCCCGCACTTTAGTCTCCGGATGACGACGACCCCGGCGGCGAGTTGGACTGTTATCGTGAGGGGTTTTCCTCCTGCTGCTCCTCCCGCGTGGTATCCTGCATCTTCCGTGTTGGCTGCAGCAGCGCCAGACGACGACGGCGGCGTGGAGGACGAGGAGGGGAGCGCGTCGGGGATGTCGGGCGTCGCGGAGGCGTGGAGGGCGAAGAGGGAGGATGCGACGGTGGACTGGGTGCGGAGGAGGGAGACGGGCTGCGGGGAGGCGTGGGCGAGGAGGCGGCCTGAGGGGGTCGCGAGGAGTGCCGTGTGGAGGTTTGCGTTTAGGTTTGAGGCGAGGAAGGAGGTTAGGCGTTTTGTTAGGAGGAGGGGCGTTGGTTGGTTCAGGGACATGTTTGTTTGTTTTCTGTTGTGGTTTTGGTTGTCGAGGGGGGAGATGGCTGTTGGTGAGGGTGATGAGGATTTTGGGATGTTGAGGTGTGGTGAGGTTTGTAGATGTCGCGGTTCCGGTGTTCGGGAGGAGAGGTGTATGGTTCAATGCGGGTTGCTTCGTTTGGATTCCGGTTTGGTGAATGCGTGTTGTGTATCGTCACGACTGCTGAACGTGATCGATGTCGAACCTTCAAAGCTAGGGCAAGATGCGTCTGGAAGGGTGAGGGATTGGCGATGGTCGGGTGGTGGTTGAGACTCGGGCAAAGATAGAGGTCCACACGACTGCCAGGTTGTGGTGGTGGACAACCTGGAAGCTGGCGGGCAGGCTGTGGCACTCGGAGCTTCCATTCGAGGTACGCGCGCCAAGTAAAATTTGGGCAGCGCCTGGCGGAAGGTGGGGCTCCCTGTCAAACGTCTGGAGGGCACGTACCTACCATAGGTACCTTGGTCTGTCACGCAGGGAATTTGTTCTGTTAGTGCTCGGAATCTACTGCAGCTAAGGTACTAAGACAGCTCAACGTGCTTGTGTCGTGTGATTTCATGGATAAATTGGATGAACTATAAGAGACAACCTTGGTCAACTAGCTTGAGAAGCTTTTACTCATTCATGTGCTACGACCATGACATACCTAGCTCATAGAAGCACACTTTCGAGGCCAGTCGGTGAGGTCCCTCTTCCCGATATGCTTGACAACAACATCAAACACCTCCAAGACACTGCTACCACTAGTCCTTAACTTCACCAGACATCCTATTCAACACCATGAACCGGTACCCAAGATCATCCAGCACATCAACGTACTCCCTCCCCTCCTCCGTATCGCACCTCCACTCCTTATACAACCTCTCCATCTCCTCCGCCAACCCCCTCGTCTGCACAGCCGGCGTCTCGAGGTCATACTCCAACAACGTTCGCACCGCAACCTTCAAGTACCGCGAGTACCCGGACCGATGCAGCACCTCGTCAAGATGAACATCCGCAGCGGCCCCACCACACGCCGGACCGAGCTCCGCACGTGCATTCGGCGCCGACCCGGACGGCACAACGCACTGACACCCCGGGAAGTTCTCGTGCAGGCACCCGCGGCTGCCCTTGTGCGTCTCGTCGTCGTAGATGCAAAGCATCTTTGCGCACCGCCGAATGTGGATGCACTGGCACGTCTGGCACCCGTCGAGGCTGGGGAGGGGCCGGCCGGTCATCATGCGGAAGAGGACGGCGCCGAGGGCCCAGTGTTCGTCGCTGAGCGTGTAGAGGCGTTTACTCTGTAGGCGTGATGTTAGTCGAGCTGCTGTGTGTCTGTACGAAGTTGCTCCGGGATAGCTCACCCTCCTCCCCGTATCCTTATACTCCTTCCACTGCTCAATCATCTCCGTAAGACGCATATGCCCCGTCTTGGGCGAAACAGGAAACCCAACGCTATGCGGAAGCGGCTCTTCCCTCTCCAGCGCCCCCTCCCGCCGCGCCGGAACCCCCGACACGAAAGCCCGGCCACACTTGCCCAGCTTGCACACGCCGTACGTCTCTTTGCCCCGCGAATGCTGAAAAAAGATGGACTGCGCATCAATGCCGCGGTGCAGGATGGGCATCCACTCCGTATCAGTCGCCGCCCACGACTTCTCACCGGTCACCCAGTCCACCTCTTGCCGGTACCCATCATGCAGCCAAACAAGCGTACGCACCACAGAAGTAAGGACGTGCCAGCAGAGCGACTCGGGCAGGAAGCACCCCGGCTCGTGCTCAGCGTGCCGGTGGTCCGCAAAGAGGATCTCGAGCGTGCCGGCGTCGCAGATATCCCAGACCAAATAGTCCTCCGTAGCCTGCTTCTCCGCGCGCGGATCTAGGGGCTGCTGACGGAGGTACCCCGCGAGGGATATGATGTTCTCGTGGTTGAGGATGTGGGAGACGGTGCGGCCCATGTTGTGCGTGTAGAGGAGGTCCATGAGGCCCTTGACCTGGCGCTGCTTCTTGGTCGTGAAGCTCATCGAGTACTTGCCGGCGTCGTAGTACTCGTCAAAGTCGTCCACTTTGCGCGCGATGAACTCTTCGCCGTCGGCGTAGCCCGCGTGCTGGGCATTGCGCCGGGTGATCCAGATGTTCTTCTCGACTCTCTTGATGAGCTGGAATGGCGGCTGCGGGTGGTCTGGGTCCGCCTTTTCGGCTGTTGATGTTGACATGTTGGACCTTTTGGGGGGTATCAAATTGGGACCTGTCACTCGATGGGCTTGTAGATGTTGGGGTCATGGCGAACTCTTGAGATTTCTGAAAAAAGGTGATGCTATCTCCTTTGTAGGTCCTCCTAGCACAGCATCGTCGTTTGCTCGCCAGGCAGCGTCAACTAGAAGGGACCATGGTCACGGTCGAAACAAAGGATAGCCCTATGGCTATTGTAGTCTTTGACTCAACGGTTGCCGCCTTGGCATTCCGGAAAGGGTCATAGAGTACGCCACTTGGCAGGCATTTATGATGAGCGTTGACGTTTAAGACATCCTTAGAATCAGCCTCACTACAGTGTAAGTTGCTGAAAATTGAAAAGTCATTTCCAGCACAAGAGCAATGCTCAACAGACGAATATCACGGAATATTCATGATAGATGTCCTGCATCCCGTCGGTCGAAACGTCTGTACAATCGTTTGCCAAGGCAAACGAAGCAGCAGGCTTGGCCAAACGGGAGGAGGCATATGCAAGGAAACAATTTTAGTCGTTCGCGCCGAAGCCGCATGCTCTGGTGACACAGAGCGTTTACCCATACCTACAGCCATGGAATTCCTGGCGTAGGCTGGTCGCACGACTTCTGAACCCACTGTCATTTCTTTGTCGGCCTGTCGCATTCAAATTAGAATGGCGATAAAGATAGCCGAATGGCCGGGGTAATCCACGTGCATCCAGCACCTACCAGCGTCCACCCCGCCGAGCAAATTGGTCGTGGAGAAGCGAAATGCTGCGTCTTCCGAATGTGGGAGGCGATCAAATTTGACTGAGCCCTTTTTTGGGTCGTGTTGGCCAAGACCTGCCGTCTGATCCGAGAGCGTTTGTCGACGCATCCCTTGGAGTTGTTTCCGGAGGCTGGTGCAGCGGTGTTGGGCGGTCTGTAGGTCCATTGGTCCCTTGCGATATTCAGGCTATGCTTTGGGAGGGAGCTGTAAGGAGGCACTCGTCGCAGTGTGGCACTGTACGAATACTCCACAGACGCGGCGTCACTCTTCGTTTCGATGATACTGCATGCCATCCACCCTGCGTTCGGCCGAACCGTCGAATGACATAAATGGAGGAACAATCAATGCGAAAGAGGGCGCACTGGCCATGTAGGAGGTAGAAGAAGCAGCAGAGGCAACCCCGGGGTCGTGTATCCGCGAGCTCGCCGTCATGCATACCGTTGTATGGGCCAGGGCACGGCGTTTCAGCGAGACTGCTCCGGGCAAAGCTGAGCAGAGTTGAGACGGGATGCCCGTGTTGAAAGGCTGAGTATCCATTCTGGCTGCGACGACTGTGAACAGCCGGCGTCGTTATGAGTATAGCTTTGGTTCTGAGATGATTGTTTGCCATTTGTCGAATGCCCGAGTGTTGGGTCTAACAGAGTCAGTTGTATTACACTTGCAAGCCACATCGGTTAGGACCGAGAAGAGGCCTCGTGGCCGGCCTCATCTCCACCTCATCGGCGCGGCTCTACCTAGTGTATTGGAAAGCTAACGTTGCAGTTTGCGGGAGTGGTTAGCGACAAGTCCACGATTCCTTCAAGCTTCGTTCAGGACGGTCGAAACAATGCGACCACAAGTCAGCGAGAAAGAAACAGCATTCCCGGCGGCTTCCCGCTGCTTCGAGAGGCGCAGTACTTTGGTCAATGGTTGGATGGGTGAAGCGGGCGCGTCCGAGCCGCGGCTGTAAAGATGAGGCCGCGAACTATGTGGCCATGCCGCCATGGTCAATCTCGAGCCAGTGCCTGTCTCGAACAGAGCAACTGGCAGGCTTGGTGCGGTACGAGTTCTTCCATGGGTTGAACGCAGGAGAGGATGCACGACATGAGAGGCTGAGGAGACACGGCAAGGCACAGGTGGCGGAGAGACAGGAGGAGGACTGCAGGACTGCAGGAGAGGAGGAGGAAGAAGACCGACGGAGATAGTACGTACCGTTGTACACTGTGAGAGACTGTGAGAGACTGTAGAAAGCTGTGGGGTACTTATCAAGGGCTGTAATTGAGTTGAGCCAATCAACTCCCTAGAAGGTCACGGGAAATGGGACCTCAAACGCTCTGTTGGTGCACTAAACCAAATCGGTCGACTTTGCGACATGGTACCTGCGTTAAAGGCCGCGCTTCCGTTCGCTATTGCTCCACAAGCCTCTCCTCCTCCCAGTCTCTGGGCACTTTGGGCAAGACCCCTCGGACGGTGGACGCTTGCTCGAAACCGCCTGTCTTCGTCTCCCCTTCCGTTGCCCATGTCTGCGCGTCCGCGACTCTGCAACCATCAGCGGCAATCATCAATTATTGGATCATCTTACCCAAAAGGCCCCCCTTTCCTTCCCTTTTGGCACTGACCCGGTGTCTTGACCCTAGTCAGACTGTCAGACCCCCCCCCCTCTCGCAGATCACTCTTGAAGGCCTCCACTCCCCTCTCACTCCTCTCAGAGACTCTCCCTCACTCAAGGGTCACACGCTTCAACGCTTACCTTCTGCGTCTTGACCACGCCACACACATTCCTCCTTCGAGCTTCACGAAGCACTTCCATGGCCTCAAGAGTAAGACTCGACGTCTTCGACCGAGACATTCCGATCGTGCGAATTATCCACGACGTCCGCTCCTTCTAGACTCGAACTTTGAATACACACAACACTCACTCACTCACTCACTCGCATTGCGCACTGTAACTCTCTTCGCCCATTTCGACATCCTGAGACTCAGCCTTGCAGCCCACGGCGGCCGATCAAACGCGGATATTCTCCCACAACCAGAAAACCGTCACCGCCTAACTTCAAGTGCTTGCTTGACAACAGTACTGACTACTCCGTACTTTACCCCCATTCCCCGGGTCTGTCAATTCCCACTACGGTCGACCAGCCGACTTGGCTTTTGCTCGCTGTCGTCACGTCGCCACGAATCTTCACCAAGTCTTGATCCACCCTCAAACGCCCGGTCGCTCGACCATGCCAGCTTGACAATCGCGCGGTCCGAACTCTTGCGTCGCACATTCAGCCCTTTCTTCCTACCCTGGGACCCACATTCCGTTCTCCCTCTCGTTCAACAACCGAATCTTCTTCCTCTACTCCTTCGGCTTCGTCCCGTCTCAAGTATCGATCTTTCTCTCCTGGTCATCACCAAGAGAAACGCTGTCGATTACTTCGCGGGCGAGTAACGACTTGTGTTTGCGGCAGGTCCGGGTTGCGTTATCACACTCATTCACACGACGTTTGGTCCCTCGGCGACCATCACCCTTCTTCTTCTCTTTTTCCGACTCGACTGTGTCGGGATTCATCAATACAACTTTGACATTCGTCACACTCGTCAATTCGCCGCTCACTACCCAAGATGGGTTGCCTCACTCACCGCAAAAAGGTCATTGACCAACGTGCCGAGCAGAAATGGGACTATATCGTATGTAGAACCTCATACGGTACAACATTCTTCTAGTGCTAACCTGTCTAGAACCTCAACGACTTCAAGTCACGAGGATGCCTCACTCCGTTCGCGTACTTTTACCTGTGGCTCATGTTGATCATCTCCCTCGCCGTCTACGGCGTCGATATGTTCACTGCCATCAACCTCCTGGCTTTCGACCGCTGGTCCTCCGAAATCGACCCCGCCATCGACTTCAAGATCTCAAAGTGGATCTTCTCCATTTCCATCATCGCCTCCTTTGTCAATCTCGCCTTTGAGCATTTCCGGGCGCACCGCGTTATGAAGCGAGGAAACGTAGCTGAATGCTACCTCGACACCATTGCCGTTCGCCTCGAGAGTATCCGATTCGGAAAGGGCCAGGGTTGGAAGCGTTTCTTGGTCTTTGCCGAACTCACCAAGAGTAAGAAGGGAGCCGAGTATATTGCTCTGTTCACCTACTTCAGCTTTCAATGTAAGCCAATCCTACTTTCCCATCGTGGCCGTTACTAATCTTATGTAGCCTGGATTCGTGTACTGGTCTGTTCGGGACCTCGTCAGGTCGTCAACGCATTGACTCTCAAGTCTGTCTACGACGCCAAGCTTGCTGTTCACGAAGTCTCCGTCGAGGGCTCTCTGCTGGGTTTCTTTGATAAGATTAAGACGCTTGCCACGGAGGATTACCAGCAGGCTCTCATCCTGTCGGGTATGGTCTTCACCCTACTCATTTGGGTCTTCTCCGCTCTCTACCTCATCATGGCTGTCCTCTTCTACGTCTTCTTCCTCTTCCACTGGATCCCCAAGGCCGATGGAGGTCTCTCGGGCTACTGCGAGCGCAAGGTCACCAAGGCCCTCATGAAGATTGTTACAGTCAAGGTCAACAAGGCGTTAGCGAGACAGGAGGAAAGCAAGAGAAAGGCAGAAATGAAGGCGGCCAAGAAGAATGGTGAAAAGATGCCCCTAGAGCGACAGGCCACTCTGCCGACTCTACCCAATGTCGGAGACCCAGACAAATTGGCCGAGATGCCCATGTTTGGCCGCAACGACACCTTCGCGACACTGCCCGCCTACGAGTCTCGTCCCGGGACCCCCGGCAGCATCGAGCTCAACTCCATGGACCAGAAACGCCCTCTGCCCTCGAGAATGGGCACCACCACTTCCACGGCCAGCTACTCGTCGCGCGCACCTCTTGTTGGCGGCGCTGCCGACTTTGGATACCAGCGCTCAGGCTCTCCGGCTCCTTCTCTGCCACCCATGGACTTGAACAACTACCCTCCTCAGCGCCCTGGCACTTCCAACTCGCAAAGAAGCTTCCGGCCTCAAATCTCTCACGTGCAAACCAACTCACAGAGTTCTCTCCGTGGTGGTTTCTCGGAGAGCCCCTCTACATACTCTCCCGACACGATGCCACCCTTCCCTCCGCCTGTGAGATCCAACACTGGCCGATCGGTAGAAAGCTTCAGATCGCAAAGACAAAACACGTACCAGAGTGAGCGTGGCACGCCGGCGCCCAGAGGCACCTACGACGACTACTCGAACCAGTCGAATGGACGGGCCAGCCCCGCGCCCTCAGCATACTCGGGCCGCGCTCCTGCACCCATGCCCCGTGGCCCCGGTCCGCTCAACAACACCCCGTACCAAGCGTACCAGCCGTTCAACCCGCAACGGAGCGCGACTGGCCCGGTTCCGCCCCGAGGCCCGCCGAATGCTCCCACGCGGAACATGACGGCGCCCGTGCCTCCCCGGCCACAGGACGACTACTTCAACCGTCCTGGCACCTCACAGAGCCAGCGGCCGAGCCCTCGCGGCCCTGGATACGGCTACAACAACGATGTAGAATCTCAGAGGGATCCGCGGTACTAGGGGTACCGTGCTCCTTTCTGAGGCTCACAGATCGCGTGCGCTTATAGGGTTATGCGGCTACGTCCCGCAATTTCTTTTTTTCATAATGTCTTTATGATTCAAAAGGGGTGTCTACTTTTGCGCTGGGAACAAGCGCACATTTCACGAAAGGCCTTTCTCGTCATTTCCTCTTCGTCCTCGCCCAGCCCTCTCACACTTCCTTCCTACTCGGAGAACACAAAAGTGTCGAGGCTGAGGTTGAGGCTGCTCCTCCGTCTTTTTACGACCATCCTTTCGATACCCCCCGAAACTTTTCGCTTCATTCTCCGTTCGTCCATGTACTACTAGGAATTCAGGGTCTACTGGCTATAGAAGTGCTCCAAGAGCCGCTAGAGAGAGGAAACCGCCAAAATCCAAATGTACTTTTAGAAACTCAAGAATACCAAAGTCTGTTGATGACAATCCGATGTTCACACTTTCTGTGGTTTCGTCTGCCTTTGTCATGTCACTGTATTCACTAACGTCCCCCGCGGCGCCAGGGCCCCTGGTAAGCTCGCAACGCCAATGCAGGCGATTAAAGTTTTGGCCCCGCTTCCCCGTCGTGATGACCCCTGGCACAGTCTGACAGTGCCAAGTAACCGTCTTCACCAGCTGCCAACCTACGTCAGGCCGTCAGCTTTGGAATCCCGCCTTCGCTGATCACGACATGCGCCCTTCGGTGCTGATTTGTCACCCGGAGATGTCAATTTCATCCTCTAGGGCTCATATAGATGCGCTTACAATTAATTTTGTGGTGTTGGTGATGATTTCTAACGATGTGATATTACTATACCTTTCTTCAATTTCTCATAATTCAATACAAACAGCGTGATCACCTGCGAATTTACACCCTCAATACACATCTCATATGAACCACACCCTCCTCCTGACAACCCTCCTCTCATCACAACTCCTCACAAGCTCAAACCTGTTCTTCCACTCACAACTACAAGACACCAACGGCATCATGCCAGGCAGAACAATACCCTTCCACCAAGGCGAACTCGCCCTCCACGAGCAACTCAAAATCCCCCGCCACAGAGCGAACCCCACAGCCGCGGGCCTCCCGCCCTCCTACGGCAACCGCATCGCCGCCGCCCCGCTCCTGGCCCTCGGCACCCTCGACGCTGAACGCCGGCCGTGGACGACGCTATGGGGCGGGGAGGCGGGCAACGTGGCAAGGCCGATTGCGGAGGACGTGCTTGGTCTCAGGAGCGTGGTTGACATTGGTGACGATCCGGTGTTTAAGGCTCTTTGGGGGGCCGAAGGGGAGGTAGACGGGGACCAGCAGCAGCAGCATTTGCAAGAGGTAATTCAGCCTGGGAGGGGTCCGGATGGTGGGAAACTCGTCTCCGGACTGGCCATCGACCTCACGACGCGGGATCGCGTAAAGTTCGGAGGGAGAATGGTAGCCGGGGCGGTTACAGTTCCCTCGGTTGGCATTGCTGTCGCTGAGGAACGGAGCTCTTCTTCCTCCTCGGAAGTACAAATCGCGGTGCACGTCGAAGAGAGTCTGGGAAACTGCCCCAAGTACCTCAACAAAAAGGACGTCATCCCGCGGGCGTCGCTCGTCAAGGGCAGAGTGGAGCGGGAGTTGCCGCTGTCTGAGGAGGCTGTTGAGGTCGTGCGCGGGGCGGATATGCTTTTCCTTACGAGCGGACACGAGGAGGGAGGGGACGATGGTGGCAGTGGCAGCAGTATGGATACGAACCATAGGGGAGGGTCGAGGGGGTTTGTTAGGGTTGCGAGGAACGATGAGGGTGGCGTGGAGATTGTATATCCTGAATGTGAGTTTTACTGCAACCCCCTTTCTGAGTCATTTGCATCCGGATCGATGGTTATGACGAGAAGGCTAATCATCTTATAGTTTCCGGCAATCGGTTATATCAGACGCTGGGGAACCTTAAACTGAACCCCTTGGTCGGGATCGCGATACCAGACTTTGAGACGTCAGACGTCCTTTACGTGAGTATTACTCAATTTCTTCCCAGCCTCACCTGGAACTTGGAAGATTATGAGGCTAACACTTGGAGGTGGGCAAAGCTCACGGGATCGGCATCGATACTCGTCGGACAAGACGCGGCAGCCTACCTACCACGCACGAAACTCGCCGTCAAAATCACCGTGTCGGCCGCGGTCTTTGTGCAGTCCGGCCTACCCTTCTCCGGCACCTCTCTCGAGCCGTCACCGTACAACCCGCCCGTGAGACCGCTCTTCTCCGAGCAGCAGCATGTTCTGGGTTCGTCTACGGAAAGCACCAGAACGGCCGCGCTGCTGCGCCGCGAGATCATCACGCCGACGATTGCGCGGTTCGTCTTTGGCCTGGAGCCCGCGGCGCAGTGGGAGGCGGGCCAGTACGTCACGTTTGACTTCGCGGAGGAGCTGGACGTCGGGTGGAGTCATATGCGCGACGACGAGCCGCAGAGCCTGAATGATGATTACGTGAGGACTTTTACGGTTTCGAGTCCGCCGGGAGATAAGGGAGGGAAGGAATTTGAGATTACGGCGAGGAAGAATGGTCCGGTCACGAATATGTTGTGGAGGTGGAATTTGAGGGTTCCGTTGGAGGTTCCTGTGCTTGGGTTTGGCGGAGAAGAGGCGTTCAGGATGGGTAGGGGGAAGGGGGAGAAGGGTGTTGGCGGCGGTGATGATGTTGAAGAGGTGTTTGTTGCTGCTGGTGTTGGGATCACGCCTTTGATTGCGCAGGCTGGTGGTGTTTTGGAAGCTGGGGTGAGGATGAAGGTGTTGTGGACTGTCAAGGGAGAGGATGTGGAGCTGGTGAGGGATGTTGTTGGGAGGATTCCTGGGTTGGCTGGTGTGTTGAGGGTGTTTGTGACGGGTGAGATTGGAGAGGCGGAGGAGGCGATGATGCGGGAGTTTGAAGGGTTTGGGGCTGTTGTAGAGAGGAGGAGAATCAGGGCTAGCGATGTGAAGGATGGTGGTATCAAGAGGAGGTACTTTTTATGTACCGGGCCGGAGATGCTCAAGGTCTTGAATGGGTGGTTGGAAGGCGAGAATGTGGCATTTGAGGACTTTGCTTTTTGAGGAGGCAATGGGGATATCTTCAAATTCTGTATACTCTGCCAGCCAAGCTGTCTGGCAAAAGGCTCTAGCTATATCTATCGAATAAGACAATATAATCATTACTTGTTGATTAGGCATGGACAATCATTACGAGGCATGAGAGGCGAAACGAACCATCTTCCATTGCTATTGTTTGTTAAATCTGATGCAGCGGCCTTTGATGCTGCCAACTCTCAAGTCTTCGTGTGTAATTATCCGTATGTTTATTCTGTTTTTTAGTACATTTGAAGTCTGGGAATTACGTGTATCTATGTGTGATACGAGCTTGACTGTCTAAAGCATCCAAAAGCCACTGCTCACATGGCGGTGTTAGTCAGATGGTATCTACGATAATTGACCAAACGATATCTCATCACATCAAGGCAGAGCTGCTGGAAGGGTCGGTTCACGATCCTTGGCAAATGGCGACAGACACTTCGTAATGTCTAATCTTGGATGTAGCCAATCTGGAAGAGCGGAGTCTGTTCAACTACCGGCAGCAGGACGTCTGGTTGAGACATTGCATCTGGGAGAATTTCTCGCTAATTGGACTCAGAAAAGGCATGATCACCCTATCACAGTTTCGGGATTGGTTGGGCAAGAGCGAAGAATTAATTAACTCGGAAGGCGGAAGGCGTAAAGGTAACGTCAAGTTGTATCATTGCCAAAAAGGAAAGAGCAGTGGAAGTGTAAGCGAGAACCCGCACCTGCTCCAAGTCAACAGAGTCGGCGCTTGGAAACCACAACTGGCAGCAGCTGGCGCTACAAACTTTCCATCGCCGCGATCCTCAACCGCAAGCGACGATGCCACACGACTTTCCCGATTGCCGCCAAACCCCAGAGTTCTGGAACCCCATTCTGCCGCCGGATCGGTTCACACGTTGGCATCATCGCGTCTTCGTTCTGGTCTGCGATTGAGCGACACTCGCAACAGAGTATTTGCATTCGAGACGAAGCGAGACCAAGGCTCGAGCTTGATTGTCCCAGTTGAGCCTCAGAGTCGAGAGTCAAGCGGCATTCCCGACGAGCTCCAGCCAGGCGAGGAGTGCAATCGAGATGGTCGTTACCCAACGTCGAACTGTCAACTGAGGCACAGCAAACATCTACGGACTCACGGGATACACTCCCTATGGATACACTAGGTGCATGTGCTGCCCCGCCGTCAGGCTCTCACCGATGAACTGAACATGCAGCTTGGCTCATGCTCAGCTCGGTAGTGGGGAATCATCCGGAGGGCACGTCGACTCGGATCGAGAGACACCTTTCAATCCGGGACCCAACTAATACCCGCCTGCCTGCTCAACTGGGAAATCTCGATCGGTAGTTAGTGCTTGGGATTGAGGGCATCGTCGGGTCGACCGATGCCCGCAAAACTCCAATGCGTGCAAGATGCCAGAGGACACAACTCACCCGACTCTCGCGTTGCAAACATTCCGCCATGATCCGGATCCGTTGTGTGCTCGTGGAACGACCGGAATCACCTTCTTCGCTCTCGCCATTGTCTCCCGTCGCACCCCTGTCTCTCGGCCGATTCCTTCTGCTAGATCGATCAAGGGGCATTCAAAGATCTGGCCTGGGCTCGTTCTGCGTAGCGAGACAGATTGCTCTCTCAAATTCTCAATGGCCAACCACAGGCTGCGGGCAAGTTCCCGGAATACGGAGATTGGGGGATGAATTCGACAGGCAAAAAAGTGAGAGATCTCGATGCGCGCTGCTTGGCCGGGCACAGACTCAGACGGCGCCCTTGTCAACCTGCGTTCGATTCTTTCAGGGCAGCAACAGACATGGATGCAAAGGGCCAAATCCAGTCTACCTCATCGCACCAGCCAGCCGAGCGCAATTCTGCCCTGTAGTGTCTTGTACGGGGCCTGAGACGTCGTGTGCTTTGTGTGGTGTAGAGGAGCAAGCGATTCATTGAACTTGGTCGTTCCCAGGCGGATGACGAGGGAACGGAACCACAACCACATCTCGATGCCAATGTTTGAGACCTGTCACCCCAAAGCCCATGTCAGAATTCGATGGCGACCAGGGGATTTTGAGCAACGTTTCTCCAGCAAAGAAAAAGCCCGATTCCGATGCTGGTGGCCGGCCTGCCACACCACCAAGGTGTACGCAACAAGGAAAGCATGGGCAAAACATGCCACAAGTGAGCAAAAAGCTCATCCAGGCGGGATCGAAATGGGTGCAGGGGCCCATGCTGGTGGAATCGAGATTATGGGAAACCCGTTGCGGCGATCGCTGTGATCGCTGGGCCAAACGCAAATCTGAGCATCGGATTCCGCTCCGACTCATCACCCTGGCTCCCACACACACGTCCATCGGCCATCGCCCTGGGCGCCCACCCAGTTCGTCACCGATGGTCCTCAACGAGCGGCACTTGGCCGGAAGCAGCAATGCCATCGATCAGAGATAGCGACCCGAACCAGCCTGAGAGCTTGCGTTGACAACGGCTTAACATCAGGGACGCCTCCCCACGTCCCAAGTCTACGGAGAATGGCACTGCCGGCTGTTAGGCTCTTGGTACGAACCCCGCCGCACTACCGCTGCCGTCCAAACATGACGAGGTGACGCTCGTCGCCATCATTCCTCACCCCGCGCGAAGATGGTTCCCCATTTAGCGCATACCTACTCTGTCTGTACAATATTCTGCACCTCGTCAAGCGAGCACCCCCCTGGCGAGCGTAGACGTGGGAGCTCTACGCAGTACGAACCGAGGACATGGGCCCGACCTGTTGGCAGCGGTCGTTGGTCCTTCCGCCATCTTCCGTTGATGTAATGGTCCATCTGACGATCAAATGGCTCGCCAGGATTGGATGGTAACGCTCGCTCTGTTACGAACAAGTCGGAGCAAGGACCGTTCATTCTGCTCTCCCAAAGCTCAAAGACTCCTCCTTGCTGAGCTTACCTCACCAAGCTCACCACCTGAGGAAGCAAGCAGACGCCGAAGACATCAAAGAGACCCAGACCCTTAACTTTGCGGGAGGCCGTTCCAGGTCTAAACCCACCCCCCTCTCCACACTGCTGCTCCCGATCACCGTGTTCCACGCATCGACTCGCGATCAGTCCTGCAACATCAACGATCGCTCCGCTTGCTGGTGGACAACGGTATCTCCAACCAGCCCCTACCGTTCTGCCATCAATTTTTCCCAAAGTGTACTTTGTACGTTTGCCTAATAACGTCTGTTGCACCACCCAACGCACCTTTCAGCGAACATCGTACCGTCCTTTCGATATCTTGGCTTGATGACCTTACATCCTTCCACAACGACCTGTCACTTTTTCCCTGACTCTGTCAACCAACGATTTACACTTGCTATAGCAGCTCTCAAGCAATAATCCTCATAGTCCCCGATCGACTTCCTTGCCAGCACATCCAGACATACGCATAATGCAAAGTGCCTAACCGCCTTACTCTGTACAATATCACCCACCGCCAACCCTGCTCTCTCTCGCTGCTCGTACCGGCCAACCCCCCCCGGTCACACATCCCGCTGCTTCCCAGTCACCCGTCACATCGTCGCTTTATAATCACATTCAGCCTTCAGGCTCAGCCAACCTTCACAATGTCGATGCAAGAGTTTCAATACCCGGCCTCCTATCTTCAACCGCAAAAGACGGAACGCATTCTATCATTTCGGGCACAAAACCAAATGTCGACAACCATGAATCCGTGGGAATCCTGCGCGCTCCAGGTACGTCTGGGACTCTCAACTCAGGCTTGCTGGCTCCGGTACTGACATCCCTTCTAGTACCAATTCTCCGAGGAGACTGAGCAAGCTGTGCGTGGAAAGCGTGGTGCTTGGCGACAACCGCAAGCCGCTGCCGATCCCGTCATGTACCCTGGACTTTACTGCCCCAGCGGATTCGACATGATGAGCATTCTCGTAAGTACCCAAGTCGGCGATGGATGTTGAGGTAATTAACAATTATCAGCTCCGCGTCGCTGGAAGGCCCAACCCCAAGGTTGAACTTGGCGCAATTGACTGTTCTGTTGCTCTACTTCTTTGTGACCTCGAACAGCCCGACTGCCCGATTGTCTACGCCTCCGAACACTTCAGCATTCTTACCGGTTACAAGAACAGCGAGATTCTTGGCAAGAACTGTCGCTTCCTTCAGGCGCCCGGCGGAAAGGTCAGCAAGAAATCTGCCAGGAAGCATATCCCCAAGGAAACCGTCAAGAGCATGCGTAAGGCAGTCGAGGCAAACGACGAATTCCAGACCGACGTTCTCAATTTCAGGAAAGACGGCACTTCCTTTGTCAACCTCCTCACCATGATTCCCGTCCGCTGGGACTCCCAGCACTTCCGGTACTCTGTCGGCTTCCAGGTCGCACGCGAGGATTAATTCTCGGCAACACACACCACGCAAACACGAAAGTTTGTTTCGATATTTCGTTAGCGGCGCCTGTAAACATCTGGCCGCGAAGGCAACGAAACGTTTCTTTACAAAGGCAACAACTATGTCACGACTTGATTACGAGCGAGGCATCTGCTATTAGGCATTTACGATACCCACATTACACGCATGCGAGTTAGAGTCCACGCATCTCGGGACACGATACGACTCTCTATTACTATTATTTCCTTCAATTTTGGGATATTTCTGCGGCGTTTTCCACCAGGATACGAAGAACGATGAAAAAAGCGAATTACTACTGCATGGAGATCTGGAGTCACTTTTAGGTGCATCAAGACCATTATCAACCATCCGCCTCATTGGAGTTGATGGATGGCAGGGAAAGCGAATTGAGAAATAATCCAGCTTCAAAGCATTTGGGATGGCGTATTATCGACAGTCGGCACTGGCCTTGACTGTACAAGGGGGGGCTTCTTGGGAATTTTATATCATGTCCGCAACATGATATCTTGATCATGACGAAATGTTATAGCATAGCAGACGGCCCAAGGCCCTCGGCGAATTGAGTTACAGGCGTTGTATTTCGGGAACACAACATTTTGGCTCACTTTACGATTGTGATGATTGTCGCCTGCGTCGTGACACTGCATTTATGAACACCGCACACGAATCAATGTCTGATAATCAGGGCTGCATCGAGGACAATTCTACAAGCTGGAGAGGTTATACTTGAAGGCGCCCCCCTCATTTGCGACCATTATTGGCGTCATCAAAGACGGGTGAGACACTTGCACATGTTGCTAAACCCAAACACACCTCAAGCTGAGAAAAGGGTCGGCTCGTGGGAGGACACGGACTCAATCCGACAGGCCCTCTCAAGTGGGTGACAAGATAGGATGCCAGTCAACAAGATTATAACGCCTACTTGCATGCTTATCAAGCCTACTATTCTTATTCTTTTTCTTACTTATACTTTTGTTAGGATCTTTGATATATTCATTACAGAATACTCTTCGAAAGAAGCATAAGAATAGGGATAATAGGAATGGAAATAACAGGATAGCAGCTAGGGAGGGTACTGATAGAGCAGCAAGCGATTTTGTCACCCACTTGCTCTCTTAACGTGCAGTGCAACCAACTGTGTCTGTCTGCTTGCTTCCTTATTGCTTTTTCCGGGTGAGTTTCGAGACTAATGTACAAAGGAAGACGCCTCAACCGACTAGTTCGGATGTCCATCCATAGAAAGGCACGGCATATCCGATAGGTAAGTAGGTTAGTTTGGTAGTCTTACCTAAGCTTACTGCTAAACCTCCTCAGCCTACTTCCCCCTCCTCTATGGTGCGCCGGACGTCCATTTGGGGAGATTGTTAGTATCATCAGATGAATGTCACGGATTGATACTCGAAAGGTCAGTGAGGTCATTTTACACCACGTCCTTCTCACGTAGTCCGGTTCTCGCAATATTTCCAATTTCAAAGGGCAACTTCATCAACATCCAAAGAAAAGGGAGGCACCTTACCACCTCCGACATACCACCAACAAAAGTACTAGACAACAAAAATTGTCGCAACGCGGCCTTCAAAATTACAAGATGCCTCTCCGCGGACCCGTACCGGTGAAGCTCTACACAAAGGAGAACAGCGAGTGCCTGAAGCTGGGCCCCATGACGATTTACATCTTCGAGGACGGGACCAACACGGATAACCGCGTCGGGTGTATGACGCTCGAGCTGCCGCCGGCGACGTCCGGGCCGCCGATGCACTGGCACCGGTTCCACGACGAGTGCTTTTTTGTGACCAAGGGTGAGTTCTTTTACTAAATCAAAACGGCGTTGGGGGGTTTTTCCCCCCCACTGATGTAGTTGAATCGAATTACTGTTCATGTTTAGACTGAATGGAGAGGGTTTATTTCGTTGACGTTTCGATTGTGTTACTGGCAATAGGGACGATCCGGTTTTCGACGCCCGAGGGGAACGTGGATGCCGAGGAGGGCCAGTTGATGGTTGTGCCGCCGAGGGCGATCCACACGTTTTCCAACCCGTCCGAGACGCACCCCGCAGAGTTCTTCATGACGTCTACCCCAGGTACGTACTTCTTTCATCGAAATCCTTCGTGAATATCATCGTGGCAAGGTGGGCTAATACCAAGGGACCTAATTCAGGATACTACATGGACTGTAAGTACTCGGAAGGCCCAGCGTCCCGAGGACGAACCTCGTGATGAGTGTCATCTTGGTGTGAAAAAAGCTGACGGTTTGCGGTAGACTTCCGTATGATGGCCAAGGGAGTCGAAGAGGGTAAGAAGTTGTCCCGCGACGAGACGCAGCATCTCATGGCGCTGTTTGGAACGTTCCCGCCGGATGTGGAGTCAGAGCCGTGAAGTAAACTAGGATGTTGGGGTTTGAGGGGGATAGGATTTGGTGTTCATGAGAATTCGGGACTCATATGGGGTATAACTCTGATTAAGATATAAATGCTCACCCCTTCAGCCGGAGGGACCTCCGTCTACCCGTGTCCTCTACCACCGCTGCATTTGTCTTCCCAGACGCCTCTTCCTTCTTTACGGCAGTCTTCTTGGTCTTGGTTAGTGCGACCTTGGGCTTCTCCGCAGCCTGTTTTGAAGCCCGCTGCTTCTTGCTTGGTGCCGGTGCTTCGGCAGCGGGCTCTGGAGTCTCCTCCTTCTTCACCTTTGCCGCCGCGGTGGGCTTTGCCTTGGCAGAACCCTTGGCACCTCGTGCTTTCTTGCTGGGCTTCTCCTCCTCCTCCTCATCGCTCTCGTTCGCCTTCGCCGGCCTCTTCTTCTTAGCGGCGGCCTTGGGCTTCTTGCCGCCGTCATCGTCCTCCTCCACGGGCTCCTCCTTTGCCGACGGCACAACCTGACCAGTCTTCTTCTGCCTCCCAGGAGCATAACAGCTTGTCCGCCCGCCGACGGTAATGAACGCAAGCTTCTCCCCGTTGGGAAGCTCAGACGCGGCACCTTTACTCCCCTTGCCCCAGCGATAATTAAACAACCAATCGTCCGGGAACTCGTCCGAGTCGCCGAGCTTATCGACGGCCGT